CAGGGGGCAGGAGTGTATGGAGGGATGGACACTGGGAAGAGGTAACTATGAGGAGGAAGTGGGAGGGGAGCTGTTGCATTGTGGTAAACTGTGGTTAATGACATGAGACAAAGTACATGTGAACTGTTGTATGGAAAAAGAATTTGCTCTGTAAATCTTCACCCAAATCCAAATTAAAAAAAATAAATAATAAAAAGCTTGTGAGCAGCCATCTACAGTGAGACTATTGGTCTATCCCAACTTAAGCAAAGTGAAATAAATCAAAGATTCATGGAAATGATTAGTCCAAAGGACTAATGGACTACATGAACCCCAGACTCCACTAGCCTGAGACTGGAACTAGATGCTGCCCAGCTACCACTGCTCTGAAAGGATGTCCTGGACTGAGTGGGAGAAAAACGTGGAACAAAACTCAAAATCATAATAAAAAGCAGGCTTAGTGGTCTGATAGAAACTGATGGAACCCCTGAGACTATGACCCTTAGACACCCTGCAAGCCTGAAACAAAACTTACCCATGTGGCTCAACTTTGCCCAAACACTAGACAGGTCTACAAGATGAGCAAATACACTAGGAAGGAAGGAATTCCTTAAAACACTCAACAAACAAGATCAAAATGGCAGCACCTACCTGTGGATAAAGCTTGGAGGGTGGGAAGGGAGAGGAAAGAAGGATGACTGGAAATGGTGAACACAGGGAGGAAGCAGGAAGAGTGCTGTTACGTTGTATGGATTGCAATCAATGTTACAAAACAAAATCTGTATGGATTGTTGAATGGAAAACCAATTAGCTCTCTAAATTTTCACAATTTAAATCACAATTAAAAAAAAACCTAGTAACTACAGCCTTTAGTATGGATTATATCACAACATAAAGAAAACTAAAATCCTCACAACTGGACTAATAAGCAACATCACAATAAATGGAGTAAAGATTGAAGTTGACAAAGATTTCATTTTACTTGGATGCACAGTCAATGCCCATAGAAGTGGAAGTCAAGAAATCGAAAATGTATTGCGTTGGGCAGATCTGCTGCAAAAGACCCTTTTAAAGTGTTCAAAAGCTGTCACTTTGAGGACTAAGGCACGCCTGACTCAAGCCATGGTATTTTCATTCGCCTAATATGCATGTGAAAGCTGGACAAGAAAGAGTAAGGAAGACCAAAGAAAAAAGGACACATTGTAATTCTGGTGTGGGCGATGAATAGTGAATGTACTGTGGACTGCTAAAAGAACAAACAAATATATCTTAGAAGTACAGTCAGAATGATCCTTGGAAGCAAGGATGGTGTTTTGATCATCTAGTGCTGCTCTAACAGAAATATACCACAAATGGATGGCTTGAACAAACAGGGATTTATTCTCTTACAGGTTAGGAGGCTAGAAGTC